GAATGGAGATCTGCTTAGGTTTTTGGATTACAATTAATTTCCAATTTCTGCGGAACAATGGTCCGTGCAGTAATTTCCAGGCCCAGGTACTTCCAAGGTGGTATCCTTTGGACTTCGTCCTCCTGCAATTCAAATCCAGCAGAGGTTAAAACTTTAACCACTAGGTCAAGTGTGTCTTGGAGTAGAGAGTTATCGGGGGCACACACTAGCACATCATCCATGTAATGCAGGATGATGGCCTCCCTTCTCTGGGCACACACCTGGGACAGCAATGAGGCCACATGCCACTGGCAGATGGAGGGACTACATTTTAATCCCTGGGGCAAAACCTTCCAGTGGTAGGGCTTCACTGGGGCTTCTCGATTGATGGTAGGAACTGAGAAGGCGAACCTTGGGGCATCCTCTGGGTGTATGGGAATGTGGAAGAAACAGTCCTTGATGTCTAGAACAGCCAATTGCCAATCTCTGGGAAGCATTGTTGGAGAAGGCATTCCAGGTTGGAGAGACCCCATGTCCTAAATTACTTGTTTATTTCCCGGAGGTCGTGGAGCAGCCTCCACTTGTCCTTCCCCAGTTTCTTTATCACAAAAACCGGGAAATTCCACGCACTTGTGGTCTCCTCTATGTGGCCTTTAGCCAATTGCTCCTCCACAAGCTCCTCAAGCACCCTGAGCTTCTCCTTACTCATCTGTCACTGTGCTACCCACTTTGGGGTATCATCTAGCCATTTCAACTTTTGGGTAGGGCACTCTACAGTGGCTGCCTCTAAAAATCCCAAGGAGTCTTAGGAATAATCAATTTCACCCCCCACTGGGACATGGTGTCTCTCCCCCATAGAGGGCATTTATAGTCTGTAACAAATGGATGGATGCTAGCCAGTTTTCCATCCGGCCCCTCAATTTGCACGATGCTTTTTGATATTTTTGCCAATTTTACTCCTCCCACACCTTGGATTCTGCCTGCCACAGGCTGAAGTTCCCAATGTGACGACCACACCCTCTCAGGTATGATAGTCACATCAGCACCCGTGTCCAGTACCCCCTCCACATGGAGGTGATCTGATCCACGGGTTAGGTTGCATGCCAGAGAAGGTTTGTCCTCACCCACCACTTCTGCCCAGTAGACTTCAGGTGATTTTCCATCTACTGGGACCACCGCTGGAACAGGAATGGCCTGGGCGAGGATTTGTCCCTCAACCAGGTAATATGGTGGTAGAGGACATCGTGCCAGGAGAATGAGGCCAGTTATGCTTCCCTTGATGGTCATGGGAGCCACCTCAATCTCTGGGGGTGTGTGTGCTGTGTCACCGACAACAAAGTACTCACTGTCCAGTTTCATGTGGTTTAATGTCACGTCCTGTGTGCTGTTAGGTAGGTCCACTCTAATGACTGTCCAATCAGGTGACCTGAAATGAAAACCTTTGGTAGTCACGAGCCTAAAATGGCCTAGTGGCTTCCAAACCTTGTTAATTGAACATTTAATATTTTCATTGTCATGCATCCCCACACCCTCTATCCCATCCTCCCCCTTTTTGTTTATGAAGAGAGAGTCTTTTGCGAGTGTGGAGCCCGCAGTATTTACAGCTGAGCGCTCTATTGTGTTAATGGCGGGTACGCGCTGTAAAGCTAGTTTTTTTGTTTGTTGGTCTTCTGTTTCTGGTTGTGTGGACAGTCTCTGGCGAAGTGTCCTGGCTACTTGCACTGGAAGCAGATGATCTGCTGCAGGTGCTCTGGTGACATTGGTTGCTTCTTGGCTTCTGGTTTTACAGCTGCCATGGTCTTTGGGTGTGCCAGTCCTGGATTTCTCTCGTGTCCACTGAGCAGTTCTGCTTTCCTAGCGCAGGCTTCTATCATCTGTGCTAAGCTAGGTGCTGGCTCTAGGGGAAGGCTAAGGATAACCCTACAGCAGGTTTCATTAGCATTCCTCTGAGCCATCTCTTTAATTAATTCAGCTTGTACCACTGGGTCAGACACCTGTCTTTCCACTTGCACACGGAGGTGGTCCACAAACTGTAAGAAATTCTCAGAAGCAAACTGTTTAATGTTAACATAACTGCCTTTAGTATCTACTGTTGGTAATTGATTAAAAGCCTTTTCTGCAACATTGCATATTTTATCCAGGACAGACTTGGATAGTACTGTGGTTTGGCTCTCAGGGCAATGCCAATCCTTTTCCCCACATAGGTGCTCATATGTTATGTCATTACTATCAGCATCTTTGGCATCATCTGAGCTTTTTAAAAGCTCTAGTAAAAGCACTTTCAAAGATCTTTTCCACAGGCTTTCCCATAGATCATATTCTGAAGGAGTTAACAGACATCGGAAAAGCTCTTTGATATCATATGGAACCAGTTCGTTTGAACTAAAGGTGGCTCCCATCATGCCTTTAAAGATTTCACTATTTCTGCCAAATTCTCTCTGTACTTTACAAATTTCGTTTTTATCTTGATAGGACAAAGGTTGATAACTTCTTCTACTATTTCTTTTACCAAGATAAACTACAGGAGCAACTGATGGTATATACTCTTTTCCCTGGTGTTGACTTTCAGGGCTGGGCACCGCTCCCCCACCCGGCCCGGGAGGCTGCCCACCCCCCCCCACCACGGGAGCACCATCCGTCCCCCAGGGGCTGTGAGATGATCCCTCCCCACCCCCACCCTCACGGGCACTGGAACTAGCAGGGGCTACATTGCCCTCCCCCACCCTGCTGCAGCTTGGAGGGAAGGAATGTGAAACCGGAGCAGGGGTGTGGTGGTGGGGTCCAGGGTTGCAACACCTGTGGGCGGGGTCGCCAAGTACCGTGCAGGGCAGGGTCTTGGAGGGGGGAGGGGGCAGTGGAGCTGAGGGCAGGGATGGGTTATGGGAGGGGACAGGCTTAGGGGCTGGGACCAGAGGGTAAAGGGGGTTGCGGGATGAAGGAGGAAACACGTGGCTGCCACTGTATGGGACCCCCTCCACTCGGTCTACCCCATGGCCAGAGCTATCTGGGACCTTGACCCTGACCCTTCAGGCGTAGCCATGTGGCCGTTGCCCTGAAGGGAAGGGTACAAGGAAGAAGGGCTGACAATTTTCGCAAAATCATCAGAACTGGGATACCGGGGAGGACCCAGGGACTCAGAGCAGCTACAGCTGTGCTGGGTGCCCTGCGTTTCCCAGGGGGACCCGTAGATCCCCTCCAGGTTCAGGTTATAGGGTTTTGGGGAAAGGGAAGGTGAATCTGAACTGTTTTGCTGCTGACCTGCCTGGGCTCCTGACAGGCTCCTGGTTCATGCTTAAAAGTCTTTGAACTGCACAAAATGCAGCTAAAAGAAATTTAAGCTAGTTGATCAGCTCCAAGGCTTCTTGAATCCCGAAAATAGGAGTCACAGCCGGTCGTGGGGTGCTCTGTAGAGACCCACGATGTTGGGGCGCCAACTGTGGCTTTTTCTGGCCCTAAATGGGGTCTTCACCCTTTCCTCTGGTCTAGCTCAGGTGTTAGGGTGAAGCCTCCTGGGCTCTTGCCACATGGACGTAAATAAGATAACAAAAGAGGCTCTTTCCCCTGATGAAGTTGCAGGGTTTGTTTCTTGTGGGTAAAAAAGAAAGGGAAAGGGAAAGGGAAAGGGAAAGGGAAAG